TTTTTCTATATATATTAGTTGGACAATTAATTTCTTTCTATTTATAGTAGAGACGGGGTCAGGGTGGTTTTGAACTCCTGTCCTGGAGCAATCCGCCTGCCTCAGCCTCCCAGAGTGCTAGGATTACGGGCATGAGCCACCGCGCCCGGTGAATACCTTCTTGAATACCTTCAAATGTCCCTCTCTTTCCTAGTGACGGGCTTAGTAAAAATAATAATAATAATTGTTCTTCTATTTTGAGGGTTTACTTTGTTCCAGACACTGAAGAGAGCTTTATGTTTATTATCTCATAATCTTTTCAGTAGGTTTTGTTGAACAGAAGCTTAAAGAGATCAGATAATTTACCCAAAGTCACACTCACATTGCTAGTTAAGTAACGAAGCCAGGATTCAAACCTGGTGTGTTTCTTATGATTTTTGAACCATGAGACTATTAGGTATTCAAAATGATAAACACAGTTTTAAAAATACCAAAAGGATAAACAGTGATATCCCCTTTCTACTCCTAGAGACAGCTACTATATATAGCCAATGCCTTGTGTGTCTTCCCAGAGATATTCTTAGCAAATGCATATAAAGTATTACATTTTTCCTTTTCTTCCCTTCCTCACAATTGGTATTTATTATGGACATTATTCTGCATCTAACTGGAAGATTGTTTCTTATCAGTGTATACACTGATGTCTCTCTATTTTAAACAGATGACTAGTGTTCCACTATATCCTCTGTTGGTGGACTTTGATGTTTCCTTTGGTACTACAGTCAGTAACCTAGCACGTTATCACTTTGCACCTGCTTCAGTACAGTGTTTATCTGCCTGTTGACATTTGGGGCTGGATAATTCTTGTTCCCGGGGCTGTTCTGTGCATTATAGGGTATGTACCATCATCCCTGCCCTCTATGCACTAGATGCCAGTAGGACTCCCATCCTGAGCTGTGACAACCAAAAATACCTTCAGACATTGCCACATGTTTCCCCCGGGGGTCAAAAATCGCCCTTGGTTAAGAACCACTGCTCTAATTTAATTTTTCCTTAGGACACATTTCTAGAAGTGGAATAGCTGTATCTAAGGTGATGTGTATTTAAAATTTTGTTGGCAAATGCTAAATTGTTCTCCATGGAGGTTGTACCATTTGACAGCCCAACCAGCAGTGTTTGAGGATATTTCTTCATTCTCACCAGTTCAGTGGTTTATCAGTTTTGGGTTTTTTTTCCCATGTCACTGTAGTTTTAATTTGAATGTCTCTGTTTTCCAGCTGACCTCTTTAAATAAGCACTTAATTGCTTGCTAGGCATGTAGTGTTTTGTGGCTTGTGGTTTTTGTGCCACACTTGGTAGCACCATCTTCTCTATGCTTTCTTAAAGGTTGGTACCTAGAACCGAAGACAGTACTCAGGGTTTCTTCTGATCCTAATGAAATGATAATATGTACTATTTATTGAGATCTAATATCTGACAGGCATTGTGCTTGGTGCGTTCTATAAATGCATGTATCTTTTTGTGGTTTAAGCTTATATTTTTAATAAGATGGCCTTTCTTTTACCTTTTGAGTTGGTATGGGGCATCTCTGTGAACCTATTATAGAAGCCATGATCTCCTGAGTTAGCATGTATTACAGAGAGCTAGCTGAAAAGTATTTGATTCTGTAATTAGGAGTCATAATGGTCCCTACCAAACACCTGGTGATTGGGTCAGAATTGGTGTGTATGCACTGATCTAAATTAAGTTCCCTCTGTTACTTTTCCTGGAGTCTGTTCTTTCACTTGTTAATGGTCATCAAAGTTTGAAGTTTTGACTTTGTGCATGTTTATTTACTGGGCACTTGTCTCTAGGCATATCTGTTCACTGCTAAATATCTAACACCTACCTAGTGCTTGGCACATACTGTGTGCCCAGTGAATATTTGTTGAATGAATGAACTAGTCACTCCACAAACTGAGGCCATTTGGGGGCCTAAAGGCCCAGATTTACCATTCACTGGGTTGAAGAGTTTAGTGATGGGCTCTGTTGCCTTGCTAGGATGAAGCTGTCTTCCTTCTTAAAAGGCTTAGAATTAGTTGATTCATGTTTTTCTCTGGCTGTTGGGGGAACTGTCATCTAAACGATTTACAGTGAGGTTGGCTGGAATCGAGCTGTGGATGTTAGAGAGAATGGGTAAATACTCCTGGATTAATGGCTCCCCCTACCTGCACTCTTAAGGGGTCATAATTGTATTTATTTGAGGCAACGTGATACCTTCTTCTAAATGATCTGTTATCTACAAATTGTGATTTGACCGAGTTCTGATATGAGCGATTTTCTGATATTTCCAGACATCAAAATCTGTGTTAAGGGGGCCTTAAGACACCAGTTACCTCTGGCTTTAATGATTTTTCTGTTAATCCAGCAAGATGTTTGGAAACTTTCTTGATAACCGCAGTAAGCTTGCTGTTTCTTCTCCTTCTAAGAATTTGAGCGTTGTGCAGTTTGTATGTGTTGGCTGCATAACTTGTTTGGCTAGTTGACTGTTCTCTGTTCTGGAGGCTGGCACTTGTAACAGAACATCAGGGGACGGGGCGGGACAGGCAAGGGAGAGGTCACTCCCTCTGAGGGGAGAGAGCAGCTGACTCATGTGGCCAACTGTTTCCGTAAGGGGTCAGGTAAGGGGGTTGGAGAGTGAATATTTTGGCTAGGCCAGCTATCGTCTCTGTCACGTGTTCTTCTTTGTCTTTTACGTCTCTTTAAAAATGTAAAATCATTCCTAGCTGGTAAGCCTTAGAAAAAAGGGCCATTGCCAGATTTGGCCCATGGGCTGGGGTTTGCCAACCCCTGAACTAGGTGAAGAAATTAGTTTATTGCTACATGTGTTTACTTTAATGTTTTGGAGACATGAACCCAGAATGACCTTGGGAATTCTTGGTTGGTTGTGATCCAAAGAAGAGCGATCTAAACTCTGCCATGGAGGTCAAAGTGACCCTTGTGTTGGTCACCTTGGGTCTGTGGAACTCAAGGTAACCTTGGCCAGTGGGACAGAGGGCTCTTGCTGCCTTTTTCGCATGGGAGGGCTGGCCAAGGGGAGCAGGGAGGCAGGCATGGAAGAGTGTTTCCTAGGCAGGTCTGAGGAATATGGTGGTTCAGGTGCCCACACCTCTTCTGGAACGGCGTGAGAAAGCTGGCATGTGCAGTCAGTTAACCGGTTTATGAAATCGAAAGAGTAGGCCTGTACCTTGGATTCTGAGAACACCAGATTCTGATGCGTGAATCTAGCCCCTTGTGGTTTTTTCTAATCACAGGTTGTTCTCTAGAGCCGGCTGGCACGAAGGAAGTGTTACTTGATTTCAAGCTGTGCAGTTTGGGGGGTAGGAAGGGGTGGGGGTTACGGAGCAGGGACTCACGGGCACACATACTCATCCTGACTCCTGCTCTGCCACCTGCTAGCTGTGCGACCAGCGTAGCTTGCTTAATCTTCTCAGGCTCAGCATCCCCACCTGGAAATGGTGCTTCCTTGGAGTTGTGAGAATTAAGTGAGGATAGTATGTGTAAAATGCTGTTGGCTCGATGCCTGTCGTGTTGTAAGCATTCCACAGATGTGAGCAATCGCAATGATAACGTGAAAGTGGAAGAAAATGGAAGTGGCAGGGTACCAGAAATAGCCAGCGTTTGTGACTCGGTGCTGCCAAACACCACATGCATGTCGAGCATTTAATTACTAAGTGTTTCTGAAGGTAGTGGCCCCCCAAGGAACTGGGTCTGTGTCTCCCTACCTTAGTTTCCTGACTTGTAAAATGGAAATCATGCAGGTTGTGAGTAACCACATGAGGTAACATGTGAAGGGCCTTAAGTTGTCTAAAGTATTGGACAGAATTTAAGGTGACGTCAATACGTGTTTTTGTTCAGTTTCTTGAACTTCTAAATGTATTGAAGCAGCCAGAGAGTGACAGGTGCAAAACCAAAATGTTTTGCCAGTGAGACTTGATAGGATGCTCCCAAGTTCAGGATTTGCATAGGTTACTTGTAATTTGGAAGGAGTGATATAAAATTGAAATACTTTTATGAAATATTTGAAGTAGTGGAATTTAAAAATGAGTGGCTAGTGTGGAGAGATAGACTGGAGGAGTTTAACCTCTATGTAGAACATGTGACAATATCTTGCAAAATTAAAAATGTATATTTTCTTTCTCCCTACAATTCCATTTCTAGGAATTTATCCTGAAAATATATCTGCCATGTGCATTTTGTGTACTAAATCATGTATGCACCTAGTTATTCATTACAACATTATTTATAACAACAAAACAGCAGCAATACCAGTGCCTGTCCTTCAGAGACTGGTAAAGTCAATCATGGTGCATTCTTACAGTTGAAAACTGTGCACCTGCAGATTGAGGAAGCTCTGTATGCGCTGGTGGAACATTCTTCGAAGGGAAGCTACGTTAAGCTAAAAACAAAACAAAACAAAAAGCAAGGTGAAGAACAAAATGTTGCCTGGCCTGGGGCAGAAGTGGAGGGAGGGGAGTACAAATAGTATTTCCTTGTATGAGCATAGAATATCTTGGGAAGAATTTGAAGCTGGCAGTGTGGCTGCATCTGTGAAGAACTCTGGCTACCTGGGGGACAGCTAGGAGGGAGGTTTACTTTTCATAGCATACGCTTTATATCTTTTGAAACATGTCTTAGGTACGTACATATACTTGCTATTCAAAAAGTGTGAGTGGCCACAGGTCATATCATTGGGGTCGCAACTGCAAAGCATCTGTATGTTTTCGTCCCACGTCTGTGTCTGCTACGTGTCGCTCTGCCTCGTCCCTTTGACTCTGAGGACTTGAGAAGCTGGTGCTGCCTGTAGGCTTACTCTAACCAGCCACCCCCGTGCTTATTGACGTTTCTCCTCTACATTTGTGTGACTGACTGTGTTTCTGTTTCCACCCCCAGCTTTGGCAGCATGTAAGCTGTTTTTTGCCAAGAACCCAGGTCACCGCTGAGAAGGGGCCTTTGGGAGAAGAATATCCAGAGGAAACCAATGCCAGAGGTGCCTGGAATAACACTCACTGCAGGCAGCATGAGACATTCTGTGCCAGCCTCTCTGTCCTGCTGGCAAAGACCGTAGCTCTCCAGGTAGGAGGGTCCTGGGGACAGCAAGTGCTGGGAGCCTCACTCAAGGGAGAATGGGGCCACGTGTGAACTCTCTACAGTGAACACGATTTTCAGCTTATGAAGGAATTTTAAGTAAAATAATTAATAAAATAATTTAATATCCACATATTCAAGTTCAAAAGCCTTCTATGTGAAGTGCCAGCAGTCACCCCCTCCACAGGAGTAATTAGGACTTTTTTGGCACCAAGTCGAACTCTTCTCGGTACTTCTGGCAGTGACAGAGCTGTAAGACAGATTTATCTGCTAAGTGCTCTTGGGCAAGGAAAAAAGTGTAACCTCTGGAAGCAGCATCAGGACAGCAGAGCGGAGGCCGTCCCCGCTGCCCACTTGTACAGGAACCCGGCCTGGCCTTGGATGCTTTCACTGAAGATCTGTTCTGCCTCGTTCGCCACCCAAGTCCATCTGTTTCGGGGAGACCTGCCATTTTGGATGCCCCTCATGGTCCTTTTCGCCAGTCATTCTCCTCCCAAGCCTTCTGTTCGGGCACGTGAATGATGTGAGCCTTGGAATGGAGTTTGCTACCTCTCGGGGACCCGCTTCCTTGCCCAGGCTGGCGCTGCCGGAAAGGCCCGTCTGAGGGCTGTGGTTTGTTCTCGAGACGGAGGGCACTGGCCTTGGCTGAGTCGTCCACCATGTTCCTGCTGCTGCCTTTTGATAGCCTGATTGTCAACCTCCTGGGCATCTCCCTGACTGTCCTCTTCACCCTGCTTCTCGTTTTCATCATAGTCCCAGCCATTTTTGGCGTCTCCTTTGGTATCCGAAAGCTCTACATGAAAACTTTGTTGAAAATCTTTGCGGTGAGTTACAAGAGGTTGCTTCACAGAGGAGGGAAGAGGCGCCTGTAGTAGAAAGAGTTGCTCTTACCTGGTTCATTGTTATTTCTTCCTTGGATGTGGAGAAAGTTGGGAGAATGGGAAGTGGCATTTTGAGTAAAAGGAATAACTAGGCTTGTATTTATGAAAGCCTTTAGCAGTCTTTCTTATTGCGCTAAGGTAACGCATATGTTTGATTCATGCCAAACAAAGGGGCCTGTTCCATGACTCTGCACCTCACCTTGTGTTTCACTCTTTGAAATGAACAGGGGTAGCACTGAAGGAAAGAATTGCTGCCAGACCCTCCCTCCTCTTCCCTAGCAGATGCCCGAGCTCAGCGCTGCTGCAGTAGCGAGAAAGCCTTTTCTCTCTTTCAAGCATTTATCCTAAGTAGGCTCTTGCATTTCAGACAAAAAAGAATAAACTAAAAAGTGTATTTGAATTGTTTTGTTTACTTAAGGATAGAGGAGAAGGATAATAAATTTCTGAACATATGTCAGAAGTTAACCTAATTGTACCATTGAACAGAATTGGTCACATTGTGAAGGAAACGGATAAGAAGTAATGTTTTCTGGAAGTTGATCCATACCACGAGACTTTTGATATCTCTATTCAGAGATTGGTAATTTAATTGCAGTGTGTCTGTTTTTAGTAGCCACCAAATCTTTAAGAATTCTTGTTGAGACAATGTATAGTTTGAGATGTATGATTATGCACTCATAATAGTAAAAAAATATATTATTTGTTCATTAGGATTTTCAGAATAATTTTTTTTCATTTTCCTTTGGTTCCTTATAATTCTGTGGTGGACAAGGTGTAAGTATCTGCACTTTATCAGTGAAGAAGGTGACTCAGAATGATCAAGTGAGCTGTATGAAATGTTACAGTGGGAAATGTCTTTATGTATACCATTAAATCTTGGGTTTTAGCTTTTATAGTATTTACTGTTCCTGTAAGAATATGATTTTTTTCACAGTTTAAAAATTGAGGCGGAATTGACAACATATAATATCAACCATTTCAAAGTGAACAATTCAGTGGCAGTTAGTCTGTTCACAGTGCTGTGCAGTCACCACCTCTACTCAGTTCCACAGCATTGTCATCACAGAAAAGGAAACCCCACATTCCTTGTGAGGATTTCAACAAAACCAAACAAAACCTCGGAAGGAAACCTCACACTCATTAAGCCAGTCATTCCCCATCTTTCCCTCCTGCAGCCCTCGGCAACCACGAGTCTGCAGCTGTCTCTGCAGATTTACCTGTTTTGGACACTTCCTGTGAATGGAATCATGCAAAATGTGCCCTTTTGTGTCTGACTTCTTTCACTCAGCATAACATTCTCCAGGTTCTTCCGCATCATAGTGTGTGTCAGTACTTTCCTTTTGTGTGGAGATCGGCAGTGTGAGAGTCACCTGGGGGTTGGTTAGAAACAGAGATCTCAAGCCCACTCCAGACCTACTGAGTTGTCTTTGCATTTGATTCACATATGTGTGAAAATTTGAGAAGTGGTGATCCAGTCAATCTCTGGACTGGCTGTTTTACTAATGTATAGTATTTGTTTTGATTAATCAGTCAGGAAATATCATTTTCATATATTTCACTCCAAAAAAATCTTGAGTAGTGCACAAGATCTCTGTAGAGAATATAATTCTACCCATGCCCTTTTGCCACTATGAAAAACATCCACCAGGATACCATTAGTAGAATAGCTGATAAACTTAGGAGATGGCAGTAAGTGATGTCTGGCTTTACTTCACATTTATAGGCAAGTGATTAATTCATGGACCTATGGAATTCTTTTTGTTTTTTTGAGACAGGGTCTCTCACTATTGCCTGGGTTGGAGTGTAGTGACATCATCATAGCTCACTGCAACCTCAAACTCTTGGGCTCAAGTGATCCTCCCGCCTCAGCCTCTCAAGTAGCTGGGACTATAGGCGTGTGCCACCATACCCGGCTAATTTTTCTATTTTTTGTAGAGGCTGGTCTCGAATTTCTGGCCTCAAGTGATCCTCCCACCTTGGGCTCCCAAAATGCTGGAATTACAGGGGTGAGCCACCTTGGAAGCCACCTTGCTTGGCCTTGGAGAAGTTGTTACTTTTGAAACATGGCAGTAAGAGTTGTGAGCCTAGGGTTCTCTTGGAGTAGTTAAAATTTAACTTGGATGACTTTGGATGGGACAGGAGGCCTGGAAGTCATGTATATTCCTTATTCCATTTTGAAGGTGTCCCCCAGAATTAATATTTTAAAGTTCATAGGCAAGTAAGTCCTTATTATTATGACTATTATTTTTAAAATGTACATTCTTATGATTTTTTAATGTAGATTATAATTATTCAGTAGAAAATTTATTAAATGGTTGGCCAACAATCTATAGGACATGTAATCTTGAGCCATCAGAGACTATTTGCAGGCCATATCTTGAAAATCACTGGTTTGGGGCATAGTGATTTAGAAGTGGTAAAGGAAGTAGCATATATCTATTTGTGACCTCCAGATTTAGAGATTCAGAAGCTAGATTTGTACCCCTTCTTCCTGGAATGGTATGCGCCAGGCACCGGAAGGGCTGTGGGTACCGTGTGGATCCTGTACTGTTTGGCTTCACGGACAGTTAGAGCCTGGCTGCGAGCTGGCGTAGGGGGTGACTAGAGCGGGCCGGCGCGTTGCATCAGGGCCTCGGCGCTCTGGAGGCGTGTCGGTCGTTACTGCTCTGAGTCCGTCCAATGGACAGTAAGAATGGAACGCTACTTTTACCAGTGGTAGTTGTCGGGAACAAGCTGGATTTGGCCAGACTGGCTTCAGACCTTGGAATGTTTATGTCTGTGTTTGTGTGTATATGTATCTAAAATACACCTATACTGTGGGGAGTATCTTAGTCTGTTTGGTCTGCAGTAACAGACTACCATGGACTAGATGGCTCCTAAAAACCAAATTTATTTCTCATAGTTCTGGAGGCTGGGAAGTTCAGGATCAGGTACCAGCAGATTCAGTGTCTGGTGAGCGCTTGCTTCCTAGTTCATAGACATCTGACTTCTCTCTGTGTCCTCACGTGACAGAGGAATGAGGGAACTCTCTGTGGTACCTTTTAGAAGGGGCACCAGTCTTGCACATGAGGGCTCTACCTTTGTGACTTTATCTCCTCCAAATACCATCACCTTGGAGGTTAAGTTTCAATGTATGAATTAGAGGAGAACATGAGCACTTAGTCCGTAGTAAGGAGAGACCTTTATTTTACTTTTTTTAGCCCCTTTACTCCTTCTATATTGGAATGATAATACGTAATTTTGGAGCAGGAAGGAAACCCCAAGATCATGTTAATTTTTATGGTTCTCCCTCCTGACTATACATTTTAATCACCTGGGGAAGCACTTTTAAAAATATGTATTTTGGGCCATGAGTATCTGATTTAATTGGTCTGGGTGGGCATTTTTTAAAAGCCCCCTCCTGGGAGGCTGGACGCTATGGCTCATGCCTGTGATACTAGCACTCTGGGAGGCTGAGGCGGGTGGATCGCTCAAGGTCAGGAGTTCAAAACCAGCCTGAGCAAGAGCAAGACCCCGTCTCTACTAAAATAGAAATTAACTGGCCACTAAAAATATATAGAAAAAATTAGCCGGGCATGGTGGCGCATGCCTGTAGTCCCAGCTACTTGGGAGGCTGAGGCAGGAGGATTGCTTGAGCCTAGGAGTTTGAGGTTGCTGTGAGCTAGGCTGACGCCATGGCACTCTAGCCCGGGTAACAGAGTGAGACTCTGTCTCAAAAAAAAAAAAAAAAAGCCCCTGGGTAATTCTGCCACCTGCTGTCGGAAGGTGGAGCCTGACTCCCCGCTTCTGAGTGGGAACCTGGCTTGGTGACGTGTACCTGGCATATAGGAAGAAGTGGTGGGCCTGACGCCGTGTGGTGTGTGAGACTGGGTTAGAAAAGGCAGGTAGCGTCTCTCTGGCTCACTCTCTCTGGCTGCCTGTCCCTGGAACCTAGGTCCCCTGTCGTGGGAAGCCCTGCTGCGGGGAGGTGCCCAGCTCACAGCCAGCACCTGCGCCCCATGGAGGAGTGAGCTGTCCTCCCCAGGAGGCCTGCCCCCAGCCTTCTAGCCGCCAGCTGAGGCTAAACCTGTGCCGTCTACACATTCGTGAGCAACATAAGTGGTGGTAGTGGTTTACAGGTTTTGAGGTGGTCTGTTATATAGTAATAGATAACCAGGTAAATATTAGAGAATTTTAAGCATTTGTGACCCACAGCTTATATTACCTTTAAATTTTTTTGCATATTTCCTTCTAGTCTTTGGTAATGCACATCATATTTTATGGTTGTGTTAGTAGCATATACTTATGATTTTGTGTCTGTTTTCGTTTGGCATTTTATCAGCCATTTTCATATCTTACTAGGTAATCTTCATAAAGATCATTAAAGCTGGATATCTGTGCATTTGGCAGAGCTACGTAAGCTCTGGCGTAGCAGTTTCCCATGATTAGTTCATCCTGTACAGAGGAACCAGGAGAAAGCATTTGCATGCCTTCCAAGAGAGGAGGCCTACAGAGAGGGTGTGGTGGGTCAGTGACTGCTGTCCTTTTTCCTGAAAGACTTAACTCAGTGCAGATCCTGTGAAGGCTGGGTGACTGAGGATCTTTGCGTAGAGCAGCATGTTGTCTACAGTGTCTTAGTCTGCTTTCTTAGTCCGGTGCTGCAGAGCAACCCTCTACATGATGGTGATGGTATTTAGAGTGGAATTCCTAGGAGAGGGCTCTCAACCGAGTTGAGAATGACTTGGAAAAGGGGAAGGGAAGAAAGCCTGGCTGTAAAGGAGAGAGATGAAGGTAAATGATATGAGAGGAATTGGTCAGGTCATGTTAGAGAAGGTGGGACAGTTATAATCTGACTGGTGTCAAACTCCACAGCAGAATTTGTTGGTGGAGAGTCATCGGAACCAGTGGTGGTTACAAAGAAGTTGAAGAGACTCTAGTGGTCATGGGGTTGTGGTGGGGTGGGC